TCAGTAAACTTTCCAGCATCCATTTCTGCTTCAGTCAGGTAGGTAACATAATCATCAAAGTTAGTAGGCCTTTTAGACCTTGATGACCTCCTGAGCAAATTATCGGGTTGAGCATTGGCGGCATTGTCTTGATGGTGATTATTTGAGGTGTCTTCATTTCCAGGTACATTAGGAGTAGGAGGTGGTGCAGTGTCCTGCGAATTGGCATTGAGTACAAGAGGAGTAATTGGAGGTAAAGTAATTGATAAGTCTCTCCCCCCCGCGTCTTGTACTTCTAGCAATTCATCATAAGGGTTTTCACTGCTCCCACTGACCTTAAAATCTTCAAGGAAATGAGCATCTTTGGTTTCTACAATGCGAGTGATGTGGGAAGGACAATAAAATCTGTAACCCTTTGAGTGAGAAGGATAACCAATGAAGTAGCAAGTTACAGTTTTCATGTCGAGTTTCTTCAAGAAGGGATTATATAGTTTAGCTTCGGAAAGACAACCCCATACTTTCATATATCTTAGACTCGGTTTCCTTCCTGTCCAGAGTTCATAAGGAGTTTTAGGGACAGCTTTAGAAGGAACACTATTGAGTATATGAACGGCTGTTTTTAAGGCCTCGGTCCAGAGAAATAGAGGTAAACCTGAGTTGGCTAACATACTGCGTACCATGTCCATTAGGGTCTTATTTCTTCTCTCAGCAACACCATTTTGCTGAGGAGTACCGGGCATGGTATATTGGTTAACAATCCCCTGGGCCTTACAAAACTCATAAAATGGACTAGGAGCTTGACCCACATCAGTATGTCTACCATAATATTCACCTCCTCTATCTGATCTTACAACTTTTATCTGACGATTAAGTTGTTTTTCAACTTCAGTTTTATAATCTTTAAAAGTTGCAAGTGATTCAGATTTTTCCTTAATGAGATATAAGTACATATAACGAGAATAATCATCAATATAAGTGATAAATGAGTTATGTCCAGTTATGCCAGCGATAGAGTAAGGACCACTAATATCAGTGTGGATGAGCTCTAATAAATTAGAACTCCTAGTGGCACCTTTCTTATTCACTGATGTCATTTTACCTTTAAGGCAT